GTAGCCGTGGTCAGAAGAAACAACTCATCGTTGTTGCAGTAAGCTCGCCATATGATTTTGCCATGGATACGTCTATCGGCACCTACATTTGCACTTTCGATTTCACCGAAACAGCTATGAATGCTTTGGTCAGAGCCTTGGTGGGCGAGACGACTCCTAGTGGCACCCTTCCTGGAACCCTCCGAAAGAGTAAGAAGGTTCTAAAGCCGAGGCAACATTGGTTAGTGGAGGAATATGACCGGAACCGTGATGCAGCAGGGTTAGGCGATCTATTGCGAGCCGTCAACCGGGCAAGCACCCCAGATCTCCAATTCCTGCGAACTACGAGCGCGTCGTCGTTCGAATTATCCAACCCCAACGTTAAGGAAGCACACTTTGTAGTTCGCAATAGTAGCACGCACGCCTTGTATGGCTTCGTTGCCACCTATTTCGTCTCAGGCGTGGGTATCCTCGGGGCATTGATAGTTGATCCCAGTAAGCGAAACGTGTCGATAGGGAGATCTCTCCACCGACGGGCTTTGCGAACTCTCAAGCAGCAACAGGGCCTCAAAATGCTTCAGGCGGGGACGTCATATCCAGGTGTTTTCCTCGGAGTCCCTGTCGACGTCGGGTCCCATAACACGAGGGAGTGGCTCGCGAACAAGGGCTGGGACACTCAGTTTCCGCGGCGGTTGACGAATATGATTATTCCAGATCTCTCGAGCTGGACTGCCCCAGAAGGGCTGCTGCAGAGTATTCAAAGAGCCAATATCACCTTCGATTTGATTCATGGCCTGGAAAATGCGGATAGTGTCTTGAACCATGTGGGCAGTCATTCAAATCCGGAAGTGTTGGAATTGTACAGGACCGCACTTTCTGAGACAAAGTTTTGCGGGATTGTCCGAGCAAAGGAGCCTTCCGGGAATCTTCTCGGCACCATCATCATCTCCAGGCAGCGCAGCCCCCTGGTTGCCTCAATTCCTCCACTTATGTCTCACACAGAAGACATCGGTGGAATACTTGCGCCTGTTGTCCCCATTGGACCACTCTCAACGCTGACCTTTCAAGGGCTTGCGTTGATGGGAATCCGCCAAAACAAAAGCCACAAAGCATTGAAAACGGTTCTCTCATGGGTATGTGTATTAGTGGAGTTCTCTTGCTTATGGAATGCTAACGTATAGTCAAGGCTGTTGATGATGAGTACGAACCACTGCTGGCGATGGGATTCGAGATCCTGCAAGCATTTGAAGAAATCACCAACTCTCCTGATAATGTAAGCATCTTCGGACTAGAATGCAGAGAGTGTCTTGCTAACTGTGAACAGTTCTCAGATCTCGTATAAATAGCCCGAGGCGGCAACGATTTACGGACATTTTCATGCGCATATATGAAGTTTTTTTGCTTATTTTTTCTCCTCAAATATTTTTTCTTTGCCTACAGCGCCGACACTTGGATTATCTTGGAAGCCAGCAGTCACGGGTCTTGTAATAGTACCTAAATTGGTTTACGGGCATCAACATCTTATCTGATCACGGTTTTCACCCAGTGATTCTCGTTCCTTATCTTGATTGTGAGAGGCTAATAACTAGCGAGAACCTCGCGTGCCATGAAATAAGCTATTCAGAGGATTCGATAGAAACTGCCGCATCGCCTTGCAGATCTCGGCCCTCGGAGCTAATTTTGACATCACCGCTGAGAGCAGAGGTATCTTTGAGCTTCCCATCATCTCCAATTTCTAACTCGCCAATACTGGTACCGTCTGACTTGACAAGCTTAGCTTTGGCACCGGGAGTAACCTGGTAGAGCGCGATTTCAACACTCTGTCCGTAGTCATACACGGCACCGACGACCTCCCGGTTACCCAGCACGAGAATAGTGTTCTCCCGGACATAAAGGGGCAGTGTACCAAAGCCATGTTTCTCCTTGAACCAACCCGGACCAGTGCGTACTTCGTTGGTGTAAAACGATATCCATTTCCCACGGGGTAGGTAAAACTCCACGTCTCCAGATTCTTCGAAAATAGGGGCAGCGAGGAGTTGGGATCCAATCATAAACTGACGGTCTATGTACCAAGATGTTGGGTCGTCGGGGAACTCGAGAGCTATGGATCGGAGAGAAACGGGAAGACCGTCTTCTCGAGAATCGATGGCTTGGGAATAAATGTACGGCATGAGACGAGTCTTGAGGTTGGTCCACTTGGCCAATGTCTTTGAGCACCCTTCCTCGGACTGATCATCATCGTCGATAGTCCATGGAACACGGTACGAGTTGCTGCCATGGAGACGACTATGGCTACAGAGTAGACCCATTGCTACCCAACGTTTGTAGACCCAGGGTGGGGGGTATCCTTCAAACCCTCCAATATCACAGCTCCAGTATGAAAAGCCGCTGATTCCCAGAGACAGGCCACCTCTGATAGACTCTGCAAGGGCTTCGGGTGTGGACTCGCAATCTCCTCCCCATTGAAGAGGGAACCGTTGTGTGCCAGCGCATGCAGCTCTAGCAAACAAGACAGCTTCGTCGTTGCCATATCGCTTCTGGAGGGCTTCGTATACAACTCTGTTGTATAGGAAAGCATAATAATTGTGCATCTTGTGTGGATCGACCGACTCGTCGTACCACTGAACATCGAGTGTGGGGATACGCTCGCCAAAGTCCGTCTTGAGAGCATCAACTCCCTTGTCGAAGAGTGAGTTGAGGCAGCTGACATACCACTCTACTGCTTTGGGGTTTGTCACATCCAATAGGCCCATGCCAGCCTGCCAGAGATCCCATTGCCAGACGTCACCATTCTTGCGCTTGAGCAAAAACCCGTTCTCTGCTGCATGCTTGAAAGCTGCTCCATGCTGAGCAATATAGGGGTTGATCCACACACAAACCTTTTTGCAGAGTCCGCTCTCCTTGAGTCGCGAAATCTGAGACTGGGGATCGGGGAATCTCTCCGAGTCGAAGACAAAATCAGTCCAGGTGAACGCCTTCATCCAGAAACAATCATAGTGGAAGACGTCAACGGGGGAGCCGCGATCCTTCATTCCTTGCAGGAATGAGTTCACCGTAGCTTCGTCGTAGTTAGTGGTGAAGCTGGTCGTCAACCACAGACCGAAACTCCAGCTAGGCACCTTGCCTGGCTTACCGAGCAATATGGAGTACTTCTTTAAAACCTCTTTGGGGGTCGGGCCATATATGATATACCACTTGAGTCTCTGGCCCTCAACGATGGTTTGAACTCTGCAAGACCGCTCGCTACCAACTTCGAGTTCTACTCTGCCGGGATTGTCTATAAAGACACCGTATCCACGGCTGCTCATCCAGAAGGAGACGTTCTTGTAGGCCTGCTCACTAGAAGTGCCGCCGTCCGCGTTCCACAGGGAAATGGCCTGGCCAACCTTGTTCCAAGCACCAAAGCGCTCGCCGAGTCCATGAACAGACTCTCCAACAGATAGGTTGGTCTGGTAGAACATGTAATGCTGAAAGTTCCTCATGTCTCCGGTTTGCATCGGGTTGGTAGGTGCTGGTGTAAACGCAAAACCAACGCTGCGGCCCCCGAGCTTGGTGAGTTGCTTGGTGCCATCACTGCTCCCAAATTGGATTTCAAATTTGTGAGGGCCAGGATGGACCGTCGCAGATAGCGATCCAGATGTCAACGACGTACCCTTTTCATTCGTGACAATCTGAGCCTGTGGGCTGGACGGTTTGCCGTCAGGGTATATTTCATAATGGGGGCCTTTGTTCTGAGCGCCAGCCCAGTGAGTTGATTCAATCGAGATAACACCATCAAATTCAGCTTTAATGTCCTATTAATAGCTGATTAGAACAATTCTTTTTTATCAACTAAAGGGAAAGATAAAAACCAATATCATACAAGTGTTAGGGTGGGCTGGTTGAGAGTCCAGCCACGGGAGAGGATCTTCTTGACAGGGCACAGAAGGCTGATACTCTGCTGGTCTTCCGCAGGTGTGATCTGGTACACCTCTTCTGCATACTCAGTCTGGACCCCTTCGGCAGGAAGCCACATGCCATCGCGGAGGCGAACCATGGTGCAATATTGGGTGCGGCTGAACACAAGGGAGCTCTGGTTAAGTGCGAGACACGCAAGCCTGTGTTTGAGACTTAATATCCCCAAATCTCAGTAAAATGAGGAGGGGAAAGGTCGAAGAGCTCACGCCTTGGCTCTAGGACACTCGGTGCATCGCACCCTTGTAACCATCTACGTCAGGTCTGTTTAGCCGCCTGGTGGGAGCCTGCATGGCGAACGACGCGAGATTCGATAATGTAACTATACGACTACTACCATTCGAGCGTTTCTCACGCCAGGCCTGAAACTTGTCGCCCAGCAATTGGCAATTGGTGGGAGAGATTACCTCCGGGGCCGGATAAATCAACGTAACAGTTGGGCATCCAGGCATGGCTACATACATCGTGCAGCAGCTCTGCGGGGGAGGAAACACGAACCTTGACAGCTCTCATTCGCCCGCAAATCAACTGAATTAACCGAAACATCCGAAGGGGGCGGTATTACGGGACGCTTACCCGTCTGCTGTGTGTGAGACTGGCCCATGAGTTCGTCGGTCCATTCGACCAAGACTCTTTTTCAACCTCCGATGACCCCCTCTCACTCCACTGCCGTGAAGATCCCAGTTCTCGCATCTGCAAAACAGCCCGGATAAATATAGTGAGCTTCGGTCTGGTCACCGTTTTCGCAATGCCTTCTGAACTCCGAGTGCCGCCTCTCTGGGATCTCTGCTCCACGCTGAACTTGGCACGCTTGCGCCTTCGAGGGAAGTGTGCAATTTCCGCTTCTGCGTCTTGAATTGGACTAAGAGTTAATATTTCACACACGACTATGATTGCCGAAGCTTCGGCTGTTGTTCCTCGTTTTTTGCAGGGCGACCTTCCCATTGTGGGAGTAGGGGAGATCTAGCTTGTATATCGTTCCTGGACTGTAGTAGAAATAGACTCAGGCCCCCCCTTTTTTAAATCATTGGAATTTCTATCATTCTATGTGCTTCCCAGTTGTTGCAATGAAAGCCTTTCTCTTCCTGGGCACGGCCTTCCTGGCCGGGTTGGCCCAAGCCACCAACTCTTCCACGCCTCTGTATAAGCACCCCAACGCCACTCTGGATGACCGAGTATCCGACCTCCTTAAGCGAATGACCGTCCAGGAGAAGGTGTCCCAGCTGATCCAGGGAGATATAAGAAACTATCTCAACCTCACTGATGGCACCTTGAACCAGACCGGACTGGAGTGGAGCATGTCCACCCGCGGCCATGCGGTTTGGTCTGGTCTCTACGCGAAGCCTGAGATAGTCAAGCTGGGTGCCCAGATAGCCCAGGATTACCAGATGAATCAGACCGAGCTAGGTTAGCAGAAGATACCAGACTGCATCTTTTTTCCCCCAAAGACATTTCTTTGCTAATGATGAGAAAAACAAAAAGGCATCCCGACCTACGTCTCAGGCGAAGGTCTGCACGGGTTCCTCGCCCTGAACGCGACAATCTTCAACTCGCCCATCGGGATCGGCTGCTCGTTCAACCCGGAGCTGGTCGAGAAGATGGCGAGGGTCATTGCCGTCGAGGCGCTGGCGCTGGGCGTCAACCAGCTCTTCTCGCCGGTCGTTGACCTGGCCAGGGAGCTGCGCTTCGGTCGTGTGGAGGAGACGTTCGGGGAGGACCCGTACCTGTCAGTCATGTTCCCCCCAATTTCCAAGTCTGAGGATTTTAACGCTGATGGGGGAGAATGCAGGGCTGGTGAATTTGGGTACCATTACACCAAGGGCTTGCAAGCCGAGGGTGCTTGCGCCCAGGTCAAACACTTTGTAAGTTCGCTCGGGTCACAAATGATGAGATCACTTGTTCTAAGTCGTTTCTAGGCGGCCTTTGCTTCTCCTGAGCAAGGGATCAACACTGCGCCTGTGCACGGGGGAGAGCGCGAGTTGCGCAGCCTCTATCTCCCACCGTTCAAGCGGGCTATAATCGACGGCGAGGCTCTGTCGGTCATGTCGTCGTACAACTCGTACGACGGGTATCCCGTCATTTCGAATCCTCACATCATGACCGACATCCTTCGTGGAGAATGGGGGTATGAGAACTTTGTGATTTCTGATGCTGGTGCGACGGCCCGGCTCATCGATGCGTTCCATATCTGCGGGAAGAATGATAATGAATGTATCACGACTGAAGTAAGTGTGTATTCTTTCAAACGACAGGGAGATCAAAAAAGAATAAAGAATAAAAAAAAAAAGGGAATAGGAAACTAATGGCTCATAGGTCCTCCCTGCAGGCAATGACGTGGAAATGGGCGGTGGACTCTACAGTTTCGAGATCATCCCTGAGCTGGTAGAGTCTGGCAAGCTGGACATTAAAACCGTAGACACGGCTGTTTCTCGTGTTCTGCGTGCCAAGTTCGCCCAGGGTTTGTTCGAGAAGCCATACAGCGGCGTGCCAGATGACGAGATCTTTGATTATCTGGGCACCAAAGAGCACAAGAAACTTGCTCAGGAGCTGGATGCCGAGAGTATCGTGCTCCTGGAGAACCATGACAACGTTCTGCCACTCAAGAAGGACGCAAACGTTGCCGTCATTGGCCCTATGGCCCATGGCTATGTCAATGTATGTGAAACCGCCCGGCGAGGGTTACATTGCCAAACAGCTAACATTATTCCCAGTACGGCGACTATGTGATCTACACTTCCCAGTATCACGGCGCTACACCTCTCGACGGCATTGAGGCTGTCAGCGAAGGGACTGTCACGTACGCAAAGGGTTGCGAACGCTGGTCCAACGACGAGGCAGGCTTCGCCGAGGCAGTCGCCGCGGCAGAAGCGGCGGATGTAGCGGTCGTGGTCGTGGGAACTTGGTCAAGAGACCAGGACGAGCTCTGGGCGCCTCTCAATGCCACGACGGGCGAGTCGAGAGACGTTCACGATCTGGGCCTTGTCGGCGCCATGCCACGTCTCGTGCGTGCCATCGTCGACACCGGCAAGCCCACAGTGGTGGTTTACAGCTCGGGCAAGCCGATCACCGAGCCGTGGATCTCGGATGAGGCCGCTGCTCTTGTCCAGCACTTTTACCAGTCTGAAATGGGTGGCCATGCGCTGGCCAGCATCCTATACGGCGATGTCAATCCGTCGGGCAAGCTGTCCGTGAGCTTCCCCTACGACGTGGGCACCACCCCTATTTACTACAACCACCTCAAGTCGGCGCGATCATACTACAACGTCGGTCAAGAGTATGCCAACGGCACTCTCCAGTTCGGCCAGACCTATGTTCTCCAGAACCCCACGGCGCTGTACACATTCGGCTATGGCCTGTCGTACAGCACATTCACACTCTCTAACATTCAAGCATCTTCGGAGACGGTTTCGGAGTCCGACACGGTCACAGTGTCTGTCGATGTCCAGAACACGTCTGACCGTGATGGCGCCGAGGTTGTCCAGCTCTACGTGCAAGATGTGCTCAGCTCGGTTGAAGTGCCCCGCTATTCGCTCAAGGGGTTCAATAAGGTCAAGGTCAAGGCGGGTGAGACAGAGACGGTGAAGATAGATCTCAAGGTGGAGGATTGGGGCTTGTGGAACCGGAAGATGGAGTATGTCGTCGAGCCTGGAGAGTTCCTAGTTTTGGTGGGCACATCCAGCGAGGACTTCGCGGGTAACGTGACCGTTACGGTGCAATAGCTAGAGCCTAGGTAAATGATACATCAACCTGTGCTATCATCATGGTGGGAATAGGCGTCACACAAACCAATCGTGTTTGTGGTAATGGTTCATTGCTGCAAGCTAATCTGCAGGTGCCTTTTGCTGCGTGCCAGTGGCATCTGGGCGCTAAAGTACAGGCCCGTACAATAGCCGTTATCACAGTATGATTATGATTAAGCGAAAGGTCGCACGGCATCGGAGAAAATGAGGTCCGGCAGTTGCTCTGTGATTGGCTGTTCTTCTGCCAGTGCTGTCATGGCCCACATGGAGGTGGGCAGCCTCGCTATCCAGTGCTGCTTTCCTGTTCGCGTATTTCTCCAAACCATCGCCCTGCGACCCTGGATGTTGCCCTGTACGCCCAGCCAAACCACGACGCCGTTCCCCAATCGCCTCCACGGGAGAGTGTGTTCCTTCGACCTAGGATACTCCCTGCTCGATTTTATTCCCATTCACCAACCAAACGATTGATCGATCCAAGTATTCCTACCCAACCTCTGTGGCTCGACGGCGGGCCACCTACTCTGGCCCGATTCCCGCCCTCCGCCTCCCAAGAGCCTGCCCACAATGGCCACCCAACAGGTTCTCTTCGCCGAGACGATTGCCGGCATGAAAAAGGCCTTCAAGCGCAAGGCATATGGTGCGCGCTCCTCCTCTGCACTCGAACTACCGAACCCTACTAACTCTGTGGCCCACCAGAGTCTGATTCCGACTCCGAAATCGAAAAGTACGGCAACCGAGGCCAAAAACTCAAGAGAAAGGCTCGATTGTCGCACAGAGGGCAATTGGTGCCCTCAGATGGTATCGGCTCATACAATGAGGTAGGCATGATGTGTCGCCCGAGCTGCGAAATAGGCTGACAAATTCTCTGCAGTCTGTAGAGTACGCCGGTGTGCGACGGTCGATCATCCATCGCAACCTGCCTCTCGTAGACGAAGAAGGCTACGAAATCGATAGCGACGACGACGAAGCCCGCATTGAAGAAGCCCTGGCCGCCGCCATGGAGCTAAATCCATACGCCAACATTAATCTAGACAGTACGAGTTTCGTCGGCTTTGCCCCCTTCAGCAAATTGCTAACAGTGTTCCCAGATATTCTCGCTCCCCTGACCGCATCAACCGATTTATCAACGCATCCGACACTGTCCAAACCCTTCACATCGCAGAAGCTGACCGACCTTGCCTTTCAGAGCAGTACAATGCTTCGTAGGGAGAACCTCTCACTCTGGCGAGTCCGACATCTTTGGACTGGCCTTTGCGGCGACTACACTTGGGCGCCTTGCCAGATGATGCTGGGAGCGAATGATTCCGACCTCTTCACAGACGATCATGTTGCGCAACATTTATTAAGCCTTTCCAAGCCAAAGGGACAAGGAAACAGCGGGGTTTCAACACCCGCCACAGTAACTGCGCAGGCACGGAACGATGACGCCGAAGCCACGGCCAATTCAGTTGATCAGTCCCGCGAAATCGTACCCCTCACAGCGACCTCAAACCAAGAGGCCGATGTGCCCATGGCTGACGTTGGCTCGACAGACCCCAAAGACAACAATGACGGTAACAGCGCCCAGTCAAACGGTTTAAGTAAGACTGCAGCTGTCAACGGAGATGAGAACTATAAGGCTGGCAATAATGAGGGGGCAGAGAAAGGCCAGGATGGTGAGAAGGCGGACCCAGCTCTGCAACCAAACAACATCGTCGGTGAAGATCACCAAGACCCTCACGTGCCGGAGATTCCCAAGCTCTCGGCGCTCTTGGAGGCTTCCGAGGACAGCTTTATTCACCCGATGTTTCTACCCCCAGCCGGAGCCAGCCCCGACAGAGACCTAGGGCTGCCTGAACAAGAAGCCGAGGATGTCCGAAGACTGCTTGCGCTCTTCGTCCAAAAACAAGAGGAAGTCTGTCGCGGGGTTAAGAAGCTGCACGATGGTCTGTACAAGGCCCAGCGCCTACGAAAAAACGTTCTGCACTGGTCCAAGGCAGAGGCGCACTGCGGCCCGAACCGTGACTTGTCCGACGGTGAGGACTGGTATGATAAAGAGGAGTGGGGTCTCACGGAAGACTTGAAGAAGGGTCAAGATGACGAGGAGGAAGACACGACAGCCACAGCCAAAAAGACGAGGAACCGAAAGTAGACTCAGCCTTGGGCAACATAGTTTAATGATAATGACTACACTTGGGATGGAATTGGTTTGTCCTCAACAGGGCAATGATATCTGCTATCTACGCATTGGACTAGTATGGAGTTCAGGGCTCATATGCACTTATCGATAGATGGTGTTTATTAGCGAGTTTGGATTTACGCATAGCCTCGGCATTTGTATTGGGCTGATAATTAATTATATTACCTACCTACATACCTATGAACCTTGAAACCAGCTACTTATGTCTCTCCCCGAAGACGGCTGTTGCGACCGACGGGCATGTGAATGACGTGCAAAACAAGCTGTGCGGCTTAAGATGGCCTAAGACGGAACCGGCCCCCGCATCTGCCACTGAGGCGTCCATACAAAAGGCGCCATGAGCTATCACAAATTTCGATAATTCTCCCTTTGCCCTACCGTGGTTCTCCTCTTCCATCTAGCAGCTCTCCAGTTTGTATTGCTATACCCGCCGTCTTCTTCGCGTTTCGGTGTTTGGGACTTTACCACTACCAAGCTACATACTCCTCACTGTCACGATGGAACACCTCCAAGAGCTTGTCAATTACGTCGACTTTGACAAGCAGAGCTTGCTCGGTACGTCCCGGAAGCTCGCAGGGTAGCTCTCTACACAGGCATTCTGACACACGTCCCCCAAACAGTCTCAGCCGGCTCAATCCTGTTCAATCCATTATTTTGGAAGTATGTCGTGCCTCTTTTCCTGAACAAATCCGGCGACCCCAGTTAATTGACACAAACCTAGCATCGTTGCCCGCCAAGGTCCGAACAATTCACTCAAGCAGAGTCTCTCTCTCTCATCGCTAACCGAACTGCCATCCAGAGTACCGTAACAAGGTCTTGACAAAGCTCTTTGGCGGGAACTCGCAAAATGCCTGCTATGCCCTCGCCGCGACCATCTTCTCGCTTGGTATCCTCCGTGACTGGCTCTACAAGACGGCCATCTTGGAACAGCCCTCGCACCCGCTCCTCGAATCCGTGTACTCGCAGGCTGCGGCCTACACGCTGCTCGCCTGCGGAAACATCCTGGTCGTCACGTCTACATGGGCCCTGGGTGTCACGGGCACTTTCCTAGGTGACTATTTCGGGATCTTGATGGATGAAATGGTGACAGGCTTTCCATTCAACGTTTGTGGTGCACCAATGTACTGGGGTTCCTCCATGAACTTCCTCGGATCCGCCCTCCTGTTCGCCAAGCCCGCCGGACTCCTTTTGACCGTTGAAGTCGTGTTGGTTTACATCGTCGCTCTGAGATATGAAGATCCTTTCACTGCCGGAATCTATGCCAAGCGGGAACGTGAGAGAGCCGCCGAGAAGCAGAAGTGAGCCCGTCGCCTCTGGACAAGGCCCGAGATGGGCGTTTCTGCTCCGTGTCGGGTCTGCGCCCTTTGTAAGAGGCGGCTGCTGACCGGCCCCCCCGTACCAACAATGCGCCATCCTCGTTTCCCATCTTGAATGTCTTGCTCGCATGGACGTGACAATACCTACCAGCACAGTGAGGCTTCTCGTTTTGATGGCACCCCCCTTTTTCAACCAATCGGCAAATATTCAACAACAGCCGATGCTGGAGAATCGCTCTGGCATACTGAATACCTACTGAATCGTCCATGAATACATGTGATGCAGTTGATTACAATGATAGATAGACAATTGAAAAATACAAGAACAACCATGAGTTTGTTCGCCAAACCTTTGCCCTCTTGAGCCCCGATAAACAGAGGCAATAGCTCTATGTATAGACAGCTGCTCTCCCACATGAGACCTTAGCTGGCTGCTGTTGGGAGACACATACGTCAGCGGGCATGTGCCAAACCCCACCACAGCCCAAGTACCGTCGCAGCGCGCAACCCCGCGCATTGCTAAGGTACCTTAACTGACACTTATTCACTGCCCCCAAATACAGTAGAGACTGATCTCGCCATTCTGGACTGAAGCTCTGCGCTGTAGCTCTTCGTCGCCGGTCCACCGAGTGTCACTCCTCCAGACCTCCATCCAATTACATTCCACGCCGGCTCCGTCACGCTGGACTCAAGTCGGGATCTGCCCTGCGCAAAACATCCAACTCCCAGCTCTCCCATTTTTGTCGCATTTGCCCGTCACGCATCCTCACAAGCCGGGCGTCTCTCGGACTGGCCCCCACCAGCAAGCAGGCAGGTTTACTTAGTTTGATGTGGGTATTATCTGAACTTCGGGCAGGGCGAGCTCACATCACAGCCACCTGACCACATACTGGGCGGTGTTGACCTGACTTTCCCAATAGCAAAAAACAAGCTTCTACCTATTCATACTTGGCTCAAATACGGAAGCGTGCACTCTGATAGAGGATAATACACAATGTTTCAACAGGTAAGAAAACCTTGAGATGTGTATGTCATCGTGAAGGACCTCATGAGAGAGAGATATCACTCAAGAACCCTGGTGTCCAGCCCTATTCCGCATACCGAAAAATAGCCCCGCGACGACTCTCATGACTGACAGGGCAATCTAGAAAAAACCGTACTCGGCGGTGACGGTCACCATCGAGAACCTCACGGGTGAGACCTACGAGGAGGAGGATCTCAGCGGCATCCCCGAGCTCGTCGAGGTGATCAAGCTCCAGGCATCGGGCCCCAGCGAGGCTGCCCGGGCCATCAGGAAGAAGCTCAAGTACGGCAATGTGCATCGCCAGATCCGCGCCCTCGTCATCCTGGACGGCCTCATCCAGAACGCCGGCCCAAGGTTCCAGCGAGCCTTCGCCGACGAGGCGCTGCTGGAACGGCTGCGCGTCTGCGGCACCTCGGATCTCTCTGACCCCGAGGTGAAGAAGAAGTGCCGGGAGCTGTTCCGCGGCTGGTCCCAGTACTCCAACACCCAAGGGCTGCAGAAGATTGCTCAGCTGCACAGGGCAAGTGTTCCCCCTCTTCCCAACCTTCGGTATGAAACACACGAGGACAAAGCGCTAAACGTGTCTTAGGAACTTCCAAAGCGCAAGGTTGCTGTGACCCAGGAAAGGTCCAAGGTCCTGCGGGAGACTGAGGAGAACCCATTCGGAGACGAGGAGGAGGAAGCGGCTCGCCGAGCCGCTGAACAGGCTGCTGCGGGAGTCCCTGCTGGTGCTGCTTCCTCGAGCAAGGCACCGGAACCAACGCCCCATGCGCCCGGCCACAAGAAGACCTCCTCCTCCGGCTCGTTCTTCGGGGGCTCCAAGGACAAGAAGAAGGAGAAAGACAAGGCCAAGGGAGGGAAGCGGAAGCCGTTCAACCTCGAGGCGGAGAAGGAGACAATGAAGGTGGTCATTGCGGACGCAACGATCCACTCCACGACCCTGCTCAACACCATGCAGAGCATCAACAGAGAGACGCAGAGAATATCCGATAACCCCAAGGCAGCCGAGGAGTTCGAGGCCTGCAAGCAACTCCGCAGGAGGGTGCTCCGCTATGTAGGTAACAATCTAACCCTCATCTTGGTTCCTCCTGCTAACCGTTACCAGATTCACAGGGTTGAGCAAGAAGAATGGCTCGGAAGTCTTCTCAACGCCAACGATGCTCTCGTTCACTCCCTCATGTCATTCGAGCAGATGGATCGGTCAATCGACGCAGATAGCGACTCCGACGATGAGCTGGCAGAGCAGGCTCATATGTACAGAAGTGAGTAGTTTGGACTATCCCACAGTTACGATTTCATTCAACGTATACTAACAGAGTCTCGAAGTGATGACTGAGAAGGCCAGCCAGTTTGGCAAGGCTCCAGCCTCGCCTACGAGCTCCCAACCCCCAGATCTGGGTGGCTTGAGCTTGAACGCCCCCGGAGCCCCCCCAAGGCCGTCGGCGACTACGAAACCTCACAGCTCCCCCCCGAGGCAACCTCCGCGCCCGGCCCCGGTGCAGGAAGACTTCGCCGAGGATGATGACGACGATGAGGACAACCCCTTCGGAGACAGGAATGTTATCGAAACACCCTCACTCGAGCAGGGCGCTCCTCGCTGGTAAGGGGGGGGGGGTTTCCAGTTTGGTTTGGGCACGTTTGAACAGAGACGATTTCCTTTGTTTGAGGGGAGCGACGCGTTTGCTGTGGAATGCGGGGGATTTGCATCCTCCGTACTTGGCTTGAAGTTAGAGCTTGTTGCTATTTAGTGATACTCCCTGGTCAATCTATTGTGGTTTTATTGCAAATCATAGCTTCCCTTCTCCCACCCCCCTAGTTATCCTATGTCTCCATGTGTATTCAACAAGTATATCCAATCATTATCTTACCATCGGTAACCATAATTCTTGGCGTGACCATGCGAAATAGTTTTCAGTGTTCTTGCATTTACGAATACCTATGCCTGGTCGTTGGTCTAGGGTAGCCCTCACATTGGTGAAACGCATCGCAACTCCAGCAGGAACCTCAAACAGACACAAAACAACCAAAAGTACGTCATATGATCAGTGAGTCAGCCTCGTTGTGTGTCGTTCCGGCGGTCAGATTCCCAAAAATAGATCAAACGCTGAGTTTATGCAAGGCAATGAGTCGAACTTGGCCGGCTTGGTAAATGAATTCCCCGCGATGGCCCAGGGGGGTTATTGCTCAGGGGCTCACGTTAGACTCGGCCATGCACGCATGTAGGATAGGTGATGTACGTTGGTAGATCTTCGGCTGGATTCTGGGGGCTGGTTTCCCCCTCACATGGCGCGTGCTTTGCTATCTGGCCATGGATACGGTTCCTCGAGTTATGCGCTTGGCTTGGCTGTTTGCTTACACGCTGTTGGGAGTTAGAAAGGGGGATGGCTTCTGCTGATGTTGTTCATGCCGAGCAATGCGTGTTTGCTGGGATCGGACAAAGGGCTGCTCGTCATAGTTGGCCGGGAAAAAAAAAGGGGGGGGGGGGGGGGGGCTTGGTTAAGGCAGGGTGGGTTTCGAGAGCGACAAGAGAGTGATCATCCTCCTCCTTTGGGACACTTGTGCCGAAAGCTCAACCATCGTGACGCTCAAACGGCATCCACAATAAAAAGGGGACAATCACTCACATCAGCCAGTCTTTGTGCTGACCTCGGGTGTGAGACGAGCATCGCTGCTCTAACTCTAAGCAGGCTGAGTATTATGCCTTGAGGGCGATGACCAGTACCCCTGGCAAGGAGATGTCCGGCTGGACAAAGGGCTGTTTGGAGAATAGATGTCGTGATTAACCAACCGGGGAGAATCAATACATGTTCATTGATAAATGAGTCACACGAGGCCATTTATGCGGGCGATATCAGCAGAGAATGGGCATGTGAGGTCTGGCGGGCACAGGCCAAGCTGGAAGACAGTAACGTCACAATGGACGATTAGTTGAAATGACATCGGCCCCGGATTTGCGAAATGGTCCTTGCTTTCCCGGCGTCGGGAAGGGACTGCCGTGTCACGGTGCGTGCTTGCTCAAGGAAAAGGACAGCTGAATCGGAGTGGGAGCTCTCCACGATCCGTGCTCACCAGACATGTATGCACGTCTGGTCGTTTTGGTGCACCAAGCTCAAAAGCTTCTGGAAGCGTTCAACGGCTGCTACCCTTCTGCCCTTTCCTTTTTCCGAGCCAGCCCTGTCTGACATCTGTTGGTCAATTGCCGTCGAGTCCCACCCAGATGGCAAGTTGCAACCTCCCACACGGGGCCAAGAGTGATGAGCTGAAATTAAACTGACCCTTGAAGTGCGGGCGAGGAAACAAACCCCGAAGTCGTTTAGGCGGCGTCGCCGTGGTTACATTGTCCTCTGCCCTCTCCGCAACTGCGCGCTGGAATTGGATCGGAACTGGACAATCAGTTCAGCCACCCATTGATAGCTCGTACCTGGATCATTGCCATTGCAAAGATTCCAAAATCACCACTTTGGAATAGAGCCACATCAAGGGGCCCGAAATTGGGTCCAGGCGTTTCAGGCAGGGGGTGGGGAGCGCTATGTAAGGTGCATGATTTTCATGCAAGGGGGAGCTCGGATAGGATCGACAATAGGAAGACTAGAAATGCCTGGGCCATCTTGGTGTCATTGTCTATCCATCACGCTTCCCCGCCCGCGGTCGTCCCCAGACCCAGGCCAGTCCGTGTGTTCTCAATGCAGGACCGTGTTCCCATATCGTTATGCATTGACCGACAGATTGCTGCGTAAAGGGCTGCATCAGAGATGGGAGGATCCTGAGACTGATCATCACGCAGAACCGGGTCGTCCCCAGGCACGGGGCGAAACCAGGGAAAACGAACACTCGAACACAGCAACGTGGATTTGCAGCGGCGGGCAACCCGTTTCACCTGGCTCCTCCCCAACTGAACTGCCCGTAAACGATATCCAATCTGGCTCTCCCTACCGTAGCGTGTCCTTTGCAAAGTCGACCCAACCAGCCAACAAGGACTGGGACTGGGGTGTGGGCTAATGATAGCTACTCCCATCTCACGGCGCCATGCCCGATTCGTGCCTAAATAGGTAGAAGACAATATGATCAATGCTAATTTTGGGAGCCCATTGAATCGCACACCGTAGCCCTGGCGCCTGAACGGCCCTCTGGGATTGGCGGCGTGCGCTTTTGATGACGGATGCTGATCACGATGAATACGGCATGGCGCGTCGCTCACACCGAGGCGGCTCAATGCCAGTTGACTTTCGACCCAATGCAAGTGTGGCAGATGGCACAGCTGACGGCTTTTTGCCTCACCGACAGCCTTGTCTCAGCGCAGGATGGGGGCAACAATAGGTGGCTGTTGCTATTGACCAGACTCCCGGTACGCATGAGATGCGGCGATTGGTAGACTCGTGTGCGTCTGACCAGCAGGAACGACACAATACGTGCATTCCATTGCATCTGATCTCACGCAAACGGCGACATTATCGGACACTGTAGGCCGTTAAGTGATACAACCCAGAGAGGTCCCGCGAAACACTGGGTATTGTTGGTTTCACTGCGCCGTAGACCACCTGAACATGAAGAAAGCCAAGCAGCGTTAGAAGTCTGGCTGCGTCATCGCTTCTTTAGGCAAATCATCTCTGGGGCCTTGGAGTTGGCGCCAGTCAAGGCTCGGTTGCCGTGTCATGTCACATGGGAAATGCTTCTGGAAGGCCTGTGGAAGGAATCAGAAACGCGCCCCCTCGCCGACCGAAACAACAGCCCAGGAGGCTTGCAAATCTGAGGAAGAGTTTCACCAGAGTGAGGCATTCCCAGCTGCTCAGCGCGGTGTGGGTGGAGCTCTTGGATCACGACCGGGGGCCATGGGGAGTCTTTCTTGCCCTTGCCCCCCTGTGGGTTGAGTTCATTCCAGAAACCTTCCAGAATGATTCCTGAGGTGGCTAGAAGGAATGCCTTGGTGCGTCGGGTTCCCCACAGAGCGAATGTAAATAGCCACGCCGCGTACAGTGTCTGGATGTCGGCGGGTTTCTGCTAGGCTCGCCCCCTGCTATGGAGTCCGGTACGCTTACCCTTTTGATCCGTTCATGTATGGACAAACCGTCAGAGATGAGCGGCCTGAGAATTGCGTTGAGGATGATGATTGCATTGCCTCGCTGTCCTGGTCCGGAGACGAGTGGAGTGTACATATGTGAGTGCCTTGGATAGGTAGGATAGGCCCTGTGGCGTGGCCTGAATATCGCGGCTATCGATCACGGGAGGGTTGCGTAGAGTGGCCTCGAGGTGCTCGTGGGCAGCAGCACTGTGCGTGTTCGATAGTCTCGATTTCAATCATCAATCTCGTGGTCAGAGCGCCGATTGACTCTGTCTGCACGCACGTCCGTGGAGGGGATGGAGGGGTTGGCAACGGCCCGGGGAGAACTAACAGTGGTGCATCGGCCGCCTCGAGATTGATTTTGCTTTTTGGCTTCCATTATCACGATTGACCGGATTAGTTCCTGCCTTGGCTTGCCCTGCCTGGGCCTGCCTCCTCGATGGCTGCTGCGACGTTGCGCTGCACAGTTACGCAGATAGTATCCATTGCATGCATGTCGCAGCCCACACCTGCACCCACACTAGTTCTTTCGTTCATTGCTTCATTTATTCATGCCGGCGATCACAAAGCAAGGCGTTCGAGCACTGAATTGAAGTCAGGTCGCTGCTGGTGGCCATGCACACGCCCTCTCGTGCCGCGGCTTTGCGACACGGCACATGCATGCAGCCAGGCCGTCCTGCTGTCCACCTCGAACCAATTCATTCGAAACCGCAGCGCGCCTCAAATGTGTATCCGTATAGGTAGCCATCCAGCACGCTGGTAACTTCACCCACACACACGACGCGTGTGGAGGACCTGGCCCTCTTCTCAGCCGGGGCGCATCAGTGACATCGCGTCCATGAAAGCGGTAACGCGCTGACAGGGGTCATGGAATTACTCTAGAAGCTGGCCTCTAAAACAGGGGCTGCTGAGTGCCGCGACTTGGCTGTGCTAATAAGCTCATATTCCTTTCCAATGCAAGGGGTGCTGCTATTACCAGCTTGGCCAGCTGGTGTTACTCACGGCTACCCCTGGACAATAAATACAATGCTGGGAGGGTGGCAGCAATTTGATCATCAGAACTTCAGAAGAGACGGTACATAGTTAGGTAGTATTGTTAGATGCAGTGTGGCCGGTTAGCACTGAGATGGGTGGCTGTAGTTAATCTGGATTTTTCTGCCTGCGAGCGGCGCGCACAGTCCATGATTTGCGCCTACCCGCATCTGATGGTCACAATTTTAGAAGTTAGTCGATGGAGGCACGGCCAACACGTACGAAAGTGGTTAGATGGATGCGTCCACGTCGCTGTTCAATGGTTCTTCTCCTGCGACCAGCAAATTTTGCAATGGTTGCTCCCGTGAGAGGCGATTGGCTACCGGCAACACTGAATAGTCCCATTTTAATTGGTATTGACGTATTGATATGATGCATCCATTATCTTATTATTGTTCTTAACAGGCAGCCATATGACAACAGCCACAGTGACGCGTTGCAACCCCTGACTGTCGAGGACTGCTTGAACTGCTGGGGAGATAGGTCCTTGATCATTATCTATGCCATCTTCAGTTTCTTGGCCCTTCTATTATTCTGGGTTTGGCCAACAATAGTTCCCTAGTGGCCATGCTTCTTCGGTGTCGACGAGCTTCCGCGCATGAATGACCGGGGAACCTCCCTTACTTGCAAGGGAAGCTGATAGTCACAAAACGGCCGTATCCTGGGCGGTTTCCCAGTCTTTGAACCCGCCATCCGGTGCTCTCTTGCATGATGCATGGATGAGAAATAGATAATAAGAAGGTGCTAGTATTAAAGTAGATGATGATAAACTGGAGCTGTTCGTTCGGTATATTTTGTCCTGTCTGAATGCGGACGACAATCGTTTCAAACCCGTCCGCTTCGGGCGCAATGCAGGACTCGCGGTTCTATCTTGACAATGCCTGGCCGAGTGGGTAGAATAGAAACTCTAGCAGCGTGTTGGCCGACTTCCGCCTATTCACCTTGCCTAGCCCGCGTATTCATCGTCCATTCATCCCCCCATTCATGCACAAAGACTGCTCCGATGGTCACACACGCCCCAGCCCCTCGCATGCAAACGATAAAGCCAAGGTGCCCGCAAACGCGGTCGCTGGCTGCTGTTGGGCTACCCCGTGAAGGCATCCATGGATCCATTTACAGTTCTCCCTCGAGCATGGACGAGAATAGAGCAGCAAAAACTCCTTTGTTCAGGCCCCCCTTGCCCCCAATCCTCCACCAGTGCAGCGTAATGGGTGATGTTGTAGGCACTAATGTAGGTACCTGCCCAGGCGCATGTAGGTACTCGAGTCCGCTGTATGGGCGGGTGCTGCTGGGCCCTCAGCGGGTAAGTACTTTGGCCCAGGGGAGGGGCGTGCCCTGCCCTACTGACCCACGGAGGCGTGTGGCTACCTCCTGCCTTGGGTACTGCACTGGGTACGTTAGGTACCGGTGGACGCTGAAAGGCGGCGGGCGTGCCAGCACCCTTGCTCACACTGTACGCTGCACTCCCTTCTCCCGCTAAGCCAGTGTTTGTCCCCACTCTTTCGTTTCAACCACAACGCTACCCCTTCATGTACAGGCCTAGCATCAATTATTCTGTCCCAAAAGGCCTTCACTTTGTGCTTGCTGCTTTTGTACCCCCTTGCCCAGCTGCTCATCGCAGTCTGGATGTGGGTTTTTATAACGTTGCGACGTCCCAGACCGATTTGCGATCAGGTCCTCGACTGCCGCTCTCAGCCCACCTCTTCCGTCACTGCCACCGAACACCCGGAGATCTTCCAAAGCGCGTGCATGTGCGTTGCAATAGCCACAGATCTTCCAACCTTTCCATCCTCTTGTCAGATTCTCACAAACGGTGCGCGACCTCGTGCCCTCGATGACATCGGAGTCAACGACATCTGCCTGTAAGTGCTGATCCGTGCCCTTTTCCCACCTTCAGGCTACCCCCCTGTTCGTGTTGCGTCGCTGCGGGTTCCTGTCGGGGATCGAGGGACCCTGCGAGCTTGCAGCCTTGCCAGGGGATTTTTTTTCTTCCTCTTTTCTCGATCATCTTGTGTACACCCAGCCGGAGGGGTCCCAGACAGCATATCATCTTTACCTGAGACCCGGTTTCTTCATCCCGCCTCACTCTATCGTTCTCGCATTTTCTCTTCTGCCTCTCCTTCACCCTTTTCCTTTTCTCCATCTAGTCACTGCCGTCATTCCGTCATCCTTCGCCTCCCGGCTGACACTTCAGTCAGACTGTAGATCCTTGACACTGGACTTTTTGCTTCGTCCCTCTCGCTCGGGCCTGACATAAACATTCCTCTGCTCTTCGTTTTCAAACGGCTTACGTCGCTGGTTTTGGGGCCATTTCCAATCCTGCGACCCTCGACAACCCCGAGCGGTGCCTTGAGCCTGCAACCTTGACGACTTGTCCGATCGCTTGTTCCACCCCCGGTTCCGCCTTCATTTCGAATCCTTGCATCGAAACCTTCCCGAAGCTTGTGGCGAGCACCACGTTCACCGCGAAGCCCTCGACACGGTCAAACACCTAGACAGGGATCTGTTTTCTGATCTGTGTCAAGTACCGGCATCGTTGTTTGCCATTGAGCTGGGCTCTCCTCAGGCTGCTCCAGAGCACGTTCTGCCACCTACACGATTTCCTCTAGTACGGGCTGGAACCCATTTCCTTGATTCAGCATCCTCTGACACCGAGGGCCTGCATCTCAAATTTTACAACTGCAACCAACTCACCCAGAGGATATCAAATCGTATCCTTTGTAATTGGACCAATCCGTCGGAATCGCCGTCGAGTTAATCTTGTAATTATGTAAGTACACTCTATACCTTGCCGTCGCGCCTCTGGTGGCTCTTGGGGGACACGGTCTCGTGGTCAATGCTTCTTGATGTGGCGATGGGGACCCTTCCGGACAACACCGGTCGACTGTGCCTGTCAAGCATCTCCCAGCGAATCTCTTTTAGATAAACAGGGAGCAAGGGACATGCTAGCCGGGCCTTTTTCCCATGGTTGTTTCGCGACATGTGCTAACCTGCCATCCAAGCAACCTCCACATTGAGAACTGGTCCCTGCCATCCCTTTAAGAGCACCAGACCAGCATCGTGTTCGCATATCTGAGTTTCGCTGCTTGGTTTTGAGTATGACATCTCTGGCGCCGGTCGAGGTAATGCACATTACGAACATGTTGAATAACAAAGGAGGTTTAGCTGTCCACCCCTACCACGGAGGTCTATTCGAACAACACCCATTTTCCATCAAGACAGAGCCCGGCATGGAGCGATCCGCATCACCCCACGGCTCCGAGCATTCGCAGTATTCGACATCCCACATGGCTCGACAGTACCCATCACCCAGCGCGATGCAGGCCTCAATGCACCTCCCGAGCCAGATGCACACCTCGATGCCGCTGCCGTCGTTCCCTGAGATGGGTAGCATGGGCCATGTCCACAGCATGCCAATGCAACAGATGCAACAACAGCCACCACCGCAACAACATCACCAGCAACAGCCGCAGCAGCCGCAGCAGCACCGCCAACCACCGCCTCAGCCGACAAAGTCCCATCCTTGCAGCGAGTGTGGGAAGCACTTTGCTAGGAGGAGCGACCTTTCCCGTCATGGTATGTTGGCTGAAGAATCAGAGCACAGGTGTTCGGAATGTAGGCTAACTATGAGAATTAGAACGGATCCATACTGGTGTTCGACCACACGTGTGCGACTACCCAGCCTGCGGCAAGATGTTCATCCAACGTTCAGCCCTCACTGTCCACCAACGGGTACATACGGGCGAGAAGCCGCATCAATGTGAAGCGTGTGCCAGGGTACGTGAACGACTACCTCTCATCTATTGGACCCAACCAAGCATGTATTAATATCCTCTCTAGCGATTTAGTGACAGCAGCTCATTAGCTCGTCACCGAAAGACCCATCAGGGCGAGCGACCTTACAAGTGCCCATTCGCCGACTGCCAGAAGACCTTCACCCGTCGAACTACTCTCACAAGGCACCAGAACCACCACAGCGGAACCCTTGAAGAGGCGGCGGCAGCCACTGCAGCAGCGTTGGCTGGAGCCAAGTCTGCAAAGGTCGGACAGGCCCGGTCCGAAGGCGACCATCTCTCGGCACATGGATCTCCTCTGACAACTCCTTCGCCTGCTCAGCGGACCATGTCCATGTCTCCCAGTGTGGATTTGGGCGGAGGCGGCGGAATGCCTCGCCATGGTGGAGAGTTGCAATACCTGCAACAAAATGGCTCTTTGCCCGTGCATTTGAGAGTAGGCAGCCCGGTTCCCACCTCAAACACCGCTTACGGCAACGTTATGCGACCGACTTCCCACCCAACTGGTTATGGACCTCCATCTACTCTGGAACCCAGTCTGGACCAGCATCCATCGGGGCCTGCAAGTGCGAACAACAGCCCCCATATGAGCAACGTCGGATGGCAATCCCCATCTCATGTTCCGTCGCCGCCTCACCCTGCACCCGGTTACGTGTATCCTGACCCTGGCGACTACCCCCCAACTTCTGCTATCAACCAGATGTATTATAACCCTGCTCCACAAATGCGGCGACCTCAGAGCACAGAGCCGGGTATGGTACATATGGCCTAGGAGGACTATATGACCTAGGAGGACTTTTGGCCCTTATCGGAAATTCAACCGCCATCGTTTCAAATAGCACTCGAGTGCTTTTCCCTTTAAGACGTTGCTCTCAGCTAGATGAGCACATGTGGTCTCGAATCATGGTCGGCGTTTGCGCACATGCATATATGATCTCAACACTTCGCGTTGGGACCCGCTACAACACACGAGTCGCACGTGATCACGCCAGGGCGGTGTGCTCATTCTTGATTTTGTCTCTCTTTCTCATCTCTCTGTTCTATTAAGGCAGGCAAGCATATCGACCGCCTCCCGAATATTCTCGGGAGCACATAATTATCGCGCAGCTGGCAACTTTTTGGTTGCTCTTGCTGCTTCCTTCTTTTTTTGATCTTTGCAATGGTTTCATTTGTCGGGTTGGCATAGACTGGTAGTCGAGAACAATGAGTCATGACGATTTCCTTGTATTAGGGAGCGCGCAGTCACGTAGACGGTTTGTCTGCTCCAAGGATATGGGCAACTGAGCGGAATGATGATGATACCAAGTCATCATTGTAATCGGAAGCTCAAGAATTCAGGAAGGGAAAAAAAAACAGGGGCTCATATCTTGGCGCGCGTGGGGCCTGGTATTTGGCCATGCTTTTATGTTTGCTTGGTGTTTTTTCTTTTCTTTGTAGTATTTGCAAATAGACTGGGATCGGCTGGGCTGCTCGGCGCAAATGATCGATATATACTTTATAGACTCAATGTTTCGATTTATCTTGGGCGGAACCACTGAAGCTTGCGTGACTTTGTTAAAGTAGGAGTGTTGACGGACCACCAGAGTTCGGGAACGGCGTTGAAGAGGAATCTGAGACCATTCGAAGGATCATGAGCCAATGAGACACGTTTTAATGCCGGACAGGCCGCACTGCGAGTTCAGCCACGATGCGATGTGCATAGCCGATGCTTGGCGAAGTTGTCTCAAGCTGCATGACACACGTCGATTGTCGCCTCTTCCCGACTACATACATGATCACATTTCGCGCGATCATACATACTGCTGCATGATCCCTAGCGAAGGAGAGCGACAAAGCGCAGGAAATGGAAACGTCATGACGCATTCGCTCAGACCTCGACTTACATAACACCAATTCCTCGGCAACTTCCAATTGTCATCCAAGTCATCCTCACATACGCCAGCACACCAATCGAGCCCCCTCCAATCTCGACTAAACTCCCACCAGTCACACCAGTATTACATTCCCGCAATCGCGGAGGCGTAGAGCTAGTTCGTCTATGTAGTTGGCCGATTCGCAAAGAGCGGGCCCCTTTCATAGGCGGCCAGGTCTTGGGCAAATGGGAGTTGTGATCAGTAATCTTTCAGTATCACATCTCACTAGGAATGGGCCCATTCTGGCCTCCGCTCTCGACCGCCCGAAACAGCTCGGCATGCGATTTTTTTTTAACTCCAGATGGGGAAAGACCGAGAAGGCAATTGGTCCTATTTGTGCCTCGCATGGTGGAAGGAGGGGACGAAAAGTCTTAGTTGCTTGGAGGGTGAGCTGAGCTCGCCGAGCTCCGTCAGGCCTCCGGGGTTTTTTTTTCTGATTATTAACTCGACGTCTCATTGCTTCCCGCGCGAGGGCACGGTTCCAATTGATCATGCCGAGCTGACAGGAATGCCCCGGGATGAAATGTCATGATGCGAGAGTGGTGTGTGGGTGGCGGGGAGAAGGTCTGTGGGAAAAGTAGCGGGGGAAGAGGGGTTATAACCGGTCTTCCTGCTATATCTTAGCTCGTTGACCCTACTGCATGATGTTATTTGTTCTATAAGCGACTATTTACTTTCTGGCAGGCCAGAGACTCGGCTTTGAGAAAGGAAAGGAGGCTACGGAGAGATATATAACCAAAGAACGCAGGGAAAAAAAGGTCGTGGGAAGTCTGGTTGTTGGCTTAGACTTTCCAACTCTGATCATGGAGGTCTCGCCTTCTACCCAACGGCATCTCGTGAGAATCGAGGTCCATGCCGATACACTCTGCCCGTGGTCCTATCTCGTGAAGAAGAGCCTTGATAAAGCTATCCAGGGGTTCACCAGGAGCTATCCAAACGTAGAATTTGAGGTTCTCTGGAGACCCTTCTATCTCTATCCCCGGCTCACCCGTGGTATGTCTTCTTGCGCGTTGCCATTTTGCGGTTTCCCATATACCTTTTGATATTCTTCGACTTTTTCTCCCAAGAATCCAGTTTCCTAATGTGACCATCCTTCACTGACATGGTCTGAACCCCTTTTTTCCACAAACTAGGCACCAACAAGTTATCCTTATACCACAAGGAGGTCGACTCCCACCTCCTCACAGACATGATCCAAGCCGCAGGGCTGAAGCACGGCGTCCAGTTCCGCCTAGACGGCACGACCGGCCCGTCGAGAGCCTCCCACAAGCTCATCGCCCTCGCCCTCCAGCAGCGCGGCGCCCAGGTCCAGTCCGAGGTCGTGGAGAAGCTCTTCAGGGGCTACTTCGAGGAAGGGGAGGACATCTCCGACCAGGCCTGGCTCGTCCAGGTGGGGAAGCAGTGCGGCCTGGCCGCCAACGACGTCCTCGTCGCCCTGCGGAGCAAGGCGGCCAGCTCCAGCATCGACGACGAGGCCCGCGGGGCCGGGACGGAGAGGGAGGTGAGGGCCGTGCCGTCCGTGACCATCCAGGGGCGGGTGCGGATATTTGGGTACCAGGGCGCCGAGGTCTTTGACGACGCCTTTGAGAAGCTTCGGTTGTCGGATTATGCCTGAGTCGGGCGAAGGTTCGAAAGGCAATGGAGAGAAAACACAGACACGATACGTATACGGATATCCTTGGGAGGATGGATTCGACAGATTCTGCCTCCTGGATTACACACTACGCAAACACGGCTCAGAGAGGCACGTTCGGAGTTTGCGTGCCAGAAACACTAAAATGGGGATACGAGGCCTGGCTCAGCCCGGGCCTGATGTAAGCGACTGTTGTATTAACACTCAAAGCACACGAAGGAGTGTCGAGGGGAGTATATGTGATCGAGGGGCTTGGATATCAGCATACGTGTATAAACGATCTTGTAACATTATGAGATGTATACGAATAGACGTGTAATTAGAATATCAATTATTAGCCTCAGGAGATACTCGGTGATGTGGGGGAACACGAGTGAGTGTCTTTCGTGCTTTACTGGTCTGTTTTGTGTGTCTCGTCCTTTAAATCTTGAAGATCGACCATTCTCATTCATGAAAACAATAAGAAAAGATACAAGAGGGAAAAGCTCTCTTAGAACGCCGCTGTAATGGTTTTTGTTTTCTCAAACCCCTTTTATCGTTCCAAACTAGAAAGGAAAAGATATATATGTTAGTAACAATAAAAAAGACGAAGTCGTTTAACGCCTAGTCGCTCATCCAAATGTTTCAACCCTGCTCCTGTAAAAAAAATAACAATACTTCATCATGGTCTCGCTCAACTCCAACCCTGTCGTCACTCTGCCAGTTTCACTCTGCCAGTCTCATCTTCGCATGCCACTGTAGTCTTGCATGAGATGCGCCATGTGAACGTTGGTGGCCTTGCCGATCCGCTTGCCTGCTCGCTTCTTCTGTTGCTTGGGCTTCGCTGGGCCGCCCGCTCCTCCCTTGTGTGGGTCATCGCTCGTGGGCTTCTGACCGACGCTAACCAGCTTGCGGTGCATGTCATCAAGACTTGGGATTGGGACACGCTGCCACATCACCTGAAACTCGGGCTCAACCTTGTGGTGCAGAGACGAGTCGTCGGCCCAGACATACCGGGGGAAGTTGTCTTTCTTCGTTCGTACAACGAGCACCTTGTGCTTCCTCTCCAGCTCCGTCAGAGTATCCTCACAGTCGGGCCAGCCGTCCTTGAGATCCTTCACAGCGACACTGGATGCATCCGTCTTGCGTTGGAGGTGTGCCAGAAGCGAGATGCCATCTTTCACGCCCGGGATGATGGGCCGGTGGGTGTACGTGCCCGTCTTCCAGGTCTGTTCGCTTAGGTTCGTATCCGGCTTCCAGTCGACACGAGGATGGCCCCGCAAGCCATCCACCAATTCCTTCTTGTGCTGCTCGGCAAAATGCCTGAGACTGAGATGATCGATGATGTCGGTGACCGACTTTGGTTCGCCCTTTTTCTTGAGGTAGTCGACAGCAAAGGTCATCTGCGTCTTGACCTCTGCACCATAGCCTGTGAGTTGCGGCTGGGACCAGATCTCGGCAACGGCATCTCGTTTTCGCTTTGCGGTGGGAGTGTTTGCTGTGTCGGAGGTTGCGGAGGGGGATGGCGAAGGAGGGGCGAGAGTGGCCGCGACGGCATCGACTGCGGAGGGCTTACTGCCAGGCTTGGAGAGTTTGTCAGAGGCTGAGCTCAGGCTTGCACTGAAGGACTTGGCCTGTTTCTGGAGGAAGGACGACGACATGGCGAAGGGCGGGAGTTGAGCAGGGGCGGGAAGGTGACCGGAGGTGGAGGAGGTTGAAGGTTGAATGAATGAATAGTACAAGGAAAGTTAATGAGTGACAAGCAACCTCTGGTGATGATGTAGCAGAGCGGAATCTAGGTTAATGCGGCGCGAGGCTGTAAGGCGTAAAGTGTGATAAGGAATATTTCTCTTATCGCACCACCCGCCACGCTGTGGCTGTCTGTATTCAAGTACCCGAGGCGCTATTGTAGCACCACTGGATGCTGCCTATTCTGCCTGTTTAGCGAGCCATTCAACGCCCATGTGCGAATGGGCAGATCATTGTTAATAATAGAATATCTGATTGATTGCCCCCATCATGTCTTTAAAGAACCAATTCATCTCCTCAGATGCATATATTCAGGTGACATCGAAATCCATTGAGATTATATTCCAAAACAACATGAAAACAATTCTACATGTACATTAGTAAATATGACTCAGATAATCACCAATACAAAAATGCCACATTTATACTATTCATATCGAAAATCGTGCGCGGTGTGTCGATGTCTATTGTCTTCGTATGCATATCTAACTATTGTCA